CCGCTGGGCCTTTGTACCCAGCACGTGCCAGACCCCGTTAGTGCCCGCCGTGCCTCAGCGCCGGTGCCACACCCCCTGCCACGTGGGGCAGGAGGCTGGGGGGACTGCCCGCTCCTTCAGGCCACACCCTGCCCAGCGCCCGCGGCCTGGCTCCACACAGAGCTGCATGGTAGGGGGAGGGGCCTGGCACCCCGATCTGAGTGACCAGCTCGGGAGCACCCGCCAGAACTGGGTCAGAGGCCAGTGCGGCCTGTCCTCGCCGTCGTGGCGGTGCCTCTCGCGGGGCCGGTCCCCATGCTCCAGTGTGAAGGGCGACGGCTGCAGGCCAGAGAGAAGGCTTGGTTCTGGGGGCAGATTTGAACGTAGATCTGAAAGTTCTAATTTATTAAAGGCTTTCTTTTGGGGCCGGTCTATGCCATAGATTTTCTCTCCCTCTCAATTCTCTCTTAAAATTTAATGCTGCCATAAAAATGATGGATAAGAAATTATTCCAGGAAAAGTGATGCTGAAAGGCTCCCTCCCTGTGAGGCAGAAGCGCAGACTTGTGAGGGAGTAGCTGGGGCCGGGGCCTCCGGGAAGTGGGAGCCGCGTGCCCTGCGGAACCGGCGTCGCCCGCGGTGCCTGGCGCTCCTCTGGGCTGTGGCGGCACCACGTCTGCCTTGTGCTGCGGCGCCTTTACTCGCAGCCGCGGCCTGTCATGCCGTGCCCCCCGGAGCTCCCTGTGCAGCCCCCCACTAGGACCCCGCGGTCACAGCAGAGGAGTTGGGGGGGCGAATCCCAGCATGAGGTCGGAGAGGCCCCGTGGGACAGGCAGCCTCGCCCGCTCCCAGCACGTCTCCCGGTGTCCGCCCGTGTGGTGATGATCCCTGTGAGGCTGCCGTCCCACCACCGGGGGCCGACGACGGGGAAACATGAGGAAACCGAGACCTCAGCGCGCGTGCCTGCTCGGTCTGAGGCCAGGCGCCGGGGCCGGCGGCGCTCTGTTCCCCGTAGAACTGGGACATCGTTCCAGGTCGGCTGGTAGGAACCACAGAACCGAAGAAATCTGTCAGGTCTGACATCCGACTGCCTTCTGTTCTCCGGAGCAGCAGAGGTGCTGGGGCTGCTGCCGCGGACACCAGGGGTCAGGCCCGGCGGCTTCAGGAGGGAGCCCGGGGGCTCGCTCGCAGGGTCTCATTTGCTTTCCTGCGACGTGAGTCCCACACCTGTGAGGAGAGTTGGGGAAGGGCTGGCGGTATCCATGGGCGCCGTTGGACACGTCACCATGACAACCCAGGAGGTGCTGGGAGCTGCACCTTGTTCGTCCTGCCTCAGCGCTTCCCAGCACCTCCACGCCGTTTCTCTGTGGAGACGTGGGCCGTCGGTGAAGCGCATCTGTCACTCGAGGCCACACCCACGCGAGCGAGTGGCTCCCTTCCGTGTGGATTTGGGAAAAAGGCGCACAGCTGTCTCCTGCCCATTCTTCACACATGGAGTGGGCGCTCCTCGAGGCTCGGCACCAGCTCCTCAGGACGAGGCAGGGCCCTGTGCACGGTGCCGCCAGTTCTGTGGCCCTGCGCCAGGCAGCTGGCCCACCCTGTCGTGCCGGATTGCCCTCGGGCACCTCTGCTGCCCATCAGATAGAGCCGGGGCCTCCGCTGGCTGTTGGGGTCTCTGCCCTCCAGGCCAGGCCCACAGGTGGGACAAGAGGGATGTGCTTCCTTGTACCTCTTGGCCCCGAGCCCGTGCAGCACTCCAGTGGTTACAGGGCTGCGTAATCTGGAACAGTTCTCATGGAAAGACGGTAAGGGCTGTCCCCGTCACCAAACACCAACCACCACAAACATAACTGGAGGATTAATTTCCGTCCCAGTAATTGATAGAACGAATCGACCAAAATCTAGTAAGGATATAGGAGATGCAAGAATATCAAGCAGCTCGCTGGGTCTCACCAACAGTCCGATAGCTGGAGATGCCCAGCACGAACGAGTCCTCCCACTCACACGGTGCCAGGAACCAGGGCGGCGAGTGTGAGACGCACGTGGTGCCCAGGAACAGGGCGGTGAGTGTGAGACGCACGTGGTGCCCAGGAACAGGGCGGCGAGTGTGAGACGCACGTGGTGCCCAGGAACAGGGCGGTGAGTGTGAGACGCACGTGGTGCCCAGGAACAGGGCGGTGAGTGTGAGACGCACGTGGTGCCCAGGAACAGGGCGGTGAGTGTGAGACGCACACGGTGCCCAGGAACAGGGCGGCGAGTGTGAGACGCACGTGGTGCCCAGGAACAGGGCGGCGAGTGTGAGACGCACGTGGTGCCCAGGAACAGGGCGGTGAGTGTGAGACGCACACGGTGCCCAGGAACAGGGCGGCGAGTGTGAGACGCACACGGTGCCAGGAACAGGGCGGCGAGTGTGAGACGCACGTGGTGCCCAGGAACAGGGCGGGGAGTGTGAGACGCACGTGGTGCCCAGTAACAGGGCGGTGAGTGTGAGACGCACACGGTGCCCAGGAACAGGGCGGCGAGTGTGAGACGCACACGGTGCCCAGGAACCAGGGCGGTGAGTGTGAGACGCACGTGGTGCCCAGGAACAGGGCCGTGAGTGTGAGACGCACGTGGTGCCAGGAACCAGGGCGGTGAGTGTGAGACGCACACGGTGCCAGGAACAGGGCGGCGAGTGTGAGACGCACACGGTGCCCAGGAACAGGGCGGTGAGTGTGAGACGCACACGGTGCCCAGGAACAGGGCGGTGAGTGTGAGACGCACGTGGTGCCCAGGAACAGGGCGGTGAGTGTGAGACGCACACGGTGCCCAGGAACAGGGCGGCGAGTGTGAGACGCACACGGTGCCCAGGAACAGGGCGGCGAGTGTGAGACGCACGTGGTGCCGGAACAGGGCGGCGAGTGTGGAGTGTGGAGGATGGAATCGCACCGTGCTCTCCTGTAACCCTAATGGATTAAGCTAGAAATCGACAAGAGGGGGTCTAGAAAGCCCCCGCGTTTTGAAAATGCAGCAGCAGCTTCTAAAGAACCGAGGCAAAGACGCCGAAGGGAAATCGGTGATGCTTTGAACTGGATGACTGATGAGAAGTAGCATCAGAATTTGTGGGATGCAGCCAAAGCAGTGCTCTGAGAGCTGACATCTTCCCGTAAATGCAACATCAGAAAGGAAGAAAGACTTAAAATCAACAAGTTTGCTGTCCAGCTTTAGAAGGTAGGACAGAAGAGCAGAGTGATCCCAAGGAAGCGGAAGGAAGGAAACGAGAATGAAAGGGCAGCAGTCAGGGAAACGGAACAATCCATGACATAGAAAATGGGGACGTTCTTTGAAGGGTCCAGCTGATCCAGCTTTGCACAGAAGACACAAGCCTCAGAAGTGACGCCATCCAGTGCCCCACGTCTACATGCGATGGCTCTTTAAATGAACATTAGTGAGATTTAAAAGAGTGGAAGCATTCAGTTCCGTGGTCCCACCAGCTGCATTTCACACACTGAGCCCCCAGGTGGCTGGAGGCACCTTGGACATGCTCCCCTGGACACATGCACCCCAGTGGGGCTCTCCCAGCACTGCCGCTCTGAGTGTGATGCCCGCGCCGCAGCACCAGGGGACCTGTTAGACATTCAGGTTCCTGCGCCCCATGCAGATGACCTGCGGAGTGAGACGCTGGGCGGGTGGGCCTTGGGGTTGTTGTGGGGCACACGGCATCGGGGACCAGTGCTCGGTGGTTGTGGGGCGCACGGCATCGGGGACCAGTGCTCGGTGGTTGTGGGGCACACGGCATCGGGGACCAGTGCTCGGTGGTTGTGGGGCGCACGGCATCGGGGACTAGTGCTCGGTGGTTGTGGGGCACACGGCATCGGGGACCAGTGCTCGGTGGTTGTGGGGCGCACGGCATCGGGGACCAGTGCTCGGTGGTTGTGGGGCGCACGGCATCGGGGACCAGTGCTCGGTGGTTGTGGGGCGCACGGCATCGGGGACCAGTGCTCGGTGGTTGTGGGGCGCACGGCATCGGGGACCAGTGCTCGGTGGTTGTGGGGCGCACGGCATTGGGGACCACTGCCTGGAGAGACTCGGGGCTGTGCGGGGCTGTGCTGCTTTTGCTTCTGTCACCAGCCGGTCACTGGAGGCGGGCAGGCCGGGCGGCGCCTCTGTGTGGTGTTGCTCATCCCCGAGCTGCCCCCAAACCGGGCCAGGAGGGCGCGGCCTCGCAGGCAGGGCCCCAGGGAAGGTGGGGGGAGGCGGGGGCCAGCGTGCCTCAGCAGGGGCCTCGACCCGGAGAAGGTGCCGAGAGGGGATGTCCGGTCACGGAGGTCAGAGCCTAGGATGGGGTGCACTCGGGCCCCCGCGCACAGCGGTCCCTGCAGGCAGACCGTCTGCGGACTCGGAAGGAGCGTGCCGGTGACCACCCAGCGCCTGGTGTGACGGTGCTGGCCTGTGTCCTCCCGTCGAAGGGCCTTTAAGTTGCTTCTGAGCTTTCTGACTTTGCGAGCAGCGCTCCGGGGAACACGCTCCTGCGCGTCCTCAGGAGTCGGAGACGGTGTGCGCTCGGAGCGGGCGCAGCCGCGGGGCTGGGCGCTCTGAGTGAGGGTCAGCCTGAGGGCCAGCTGAGCCGGAGAGCTGGGGAGGGCAAGGAGTGAGGGGACTCCCGTCGGCTTCAGCGCCTGCGGCGCGGGGAGAGCGAGGCCCTGGACGGGGCAGGCCTGGCCCCGCTGCTGTGTCCCCTTCCGCTCCGCTGGCGGGTGGCTCCTGTGGCTCCGTCCCCCCTGTGCCCGGGCTCCCGCCACGGGCCCGCCTGCTGTTACGCGGCTGTCGCTGAGCAGGAGACACAGGCGCCGGTGTGAACCTCCTGAACCTGCTCTGCAGCCCCATCCTGCCCACCAGGCAGCGGTGCTTCAGGGGAAAACGTGTTTATTTTGATGCGACGAGAGGGGGGGATTCTGGCGCTTGGGGGCAGCGGCCAGTGCCACCCACCAGCTGTGGTCCCCCGGCCCGCCCCGCCCTAACCTCTCGCCTTCTCTCTTGCAGTCGGAGCCCGAGGGCTTCTCTCACTTCCACCTGTACGTGTGCGCTGCGTTCCTCGTGAGGTGGAGGAAGGAGATACTGGAAGAAAGAGATTTCCAAGTAAGTCAGCCTTTCGCAGCCTCACGTCGGACTCCGTGGGGTGCATTCCCTCGGGTGGCGGCTGGGGGGCTGAGCCGCGGCGCCTGCTGCCTGGAGCCCTCAGGGGAGGCCGCAGGCCCGGCCTGGCCGGCAGCTGGTGGGTGTGGCTGTTTCTCAGGCTCCCGGGGAAGCCTCCCGGGCCAGCGTGTGTCCTCAGCAGTGAGGCAGCTGGGCTGACATGGGAGGGATGGGGCCAGGCCTGGGGATGGGCCCCTGGGCAGCTGTGTGACTCGGGCACCTGGCTCAGCCCCTCTGACCCGCTTCCTCACCCACGTGGTGGGAAAGCCACGTTCACACCCATCGTCAGAGGTTCTGAGCCCTGTGTGGGCCGAGGCCCCAGCCCTGTGCCTGTGTGTGGTGGCCCGATGCGTGCGGTTTGGCCCTGCTCCCCGAGGTGCCGGTGGGCCGTCCTCTCGCCCGGTGCCTGGGTGGGCAGGGCTGCCTGCAGGGCGGTGACCGTGGGGGCCAGGCCCAGCCTCTGCACCTCCTTGAGCCCCTTGCCGTTCCCGTGGCGGCCAGGCTGGGCGCTGGGCCCTGGGTCACGGTGCGGAGGTCGGGCAGCTCCTGGGCGCTGTGGTGCCTCGCTCCCTGCGCGCTTGCTGAGGCGGGGGAGCCCCGAGGCTGGGCGAGCCCGAGGCCGGGGAGCAGGGTGTTCCCACACCTTTAGGGGCAGCGCGTTGGCGGTCTGGCTGAGATGCCGCCCTGCTGTCCCTGGGGTGACGGGCAGCTGGCTGAGGCGTTCCGCTGGCCTCCTCGGCCTGCTCCCCTCACCTGAGGGGGACAGAGGCTGAGACAGGCCCAGCCCAGGCACCGCAGCGAGAACTCCCAAGGCCACGAGGCCGCGCCGTGCCGGGCTGAGGAGCCCCAAGACCGCCTGTCCCTGAGCCTCCAGACAAGCAGCGCTCTGCTGTGGGCGGGGAGAGCGAGGGGGAAGCCGGTGTGTGCGGGGGACGGGCTAAACGGGACGGGAAGCAATGGAACAGAAATTAAGGGAAGAACTGGTGTCCTGGGGCCCGGGAGCTGTCGCGATGTGACATTCAGGAAGGCAACGCGGCCTCCCGGGAAGACGGCGTGGCCAGGCTCCACGGGAACACGTCTTCGTCGTCCGGGAAGCGGTGACAGCCGGCTTTGCAGAGATGTCATTTGCCCGCAGGAACTAGCGCTTTCCTAGTCATTTCCATGGGAACAGACGCCTCTGGGAGGAGGAAGTCTTCCCAGAGAAAGGCAGCCTCGGTGGTCACGCGCCAGCCGCAAGTGCGGGCGGTGGGTGGGCAGCAGGGAGGGGCTCTGTCCTGCCGTGTTTCTGAGACTCGCTCAGGCTCGTGTCTGCTGCATCCGTGGGGCCTGCTGGGCCCTCTGCGCAGCGGGTGTTTGGATGGGCGTCTGCTTATGGCCTGAGCGTGGGGCCGAGAAGCCCTGAGCCTTTGCCGACCTCGGCCAGGGCTGGCCCACCCTCGGCAGACGGCCCCGTGCCAGGCTCTGTCCTGACCTTCACCCTGTGGGTACTGCACCCGGAGCCCCCTGTCCCCGCCCTTGGCTATTGAGGTCCGAGTCTCAGCACCCACAGCCTGGATGCAGCCCTCCGTCTGCCTTTTCTAACCAGGTTTGGGGGTGGCAGGAGCTCCCCTATGTGCAGTCTGTGTCCCCTCTCAGTGGGCCAGGCCCGCCCACCTTGCCCAGTTTCTGGCCTCTTCCCAGAGGGGTCCGCTGAGGCAGAGTGCTGGAGGGCGGAGGGGCCGCTGTCCTGTCCACTGATCTCTTGATCCCTTGCTCATTCCTGCCCGCCTGACACAGGAGCCCCCGCACCCCACCTGGCACAGGCCCCCGCACCCCACACCCCACCAGGCACAGGCCCCCCCGCACCCCACACCCCACCTGGCACAGGCCCCCCCGCACCCCACACCCCACCTAGCACGGGCCGCCCCACACCCCACCTGGCACAGGCCCCGAAATACCCCACACCCCCCGGTACACGCCCCCCCGCAACCCACCAGGCACAGGCCCCCCCACACCCCACCTGGCACAGGCCCTCCCGCACCCCACCTGGCACAGGCCGCCCCACACCCCACCTGGCACAGGCCCCCCCGCACCCCACGTGGCACAGGCCGCCCGCACCCCACCTGGCACAGGCGCCCCGCACCCCACCAGGCACAGGCCCCCCCGCACCCCGCCTTCGCAGCCGCTGTTCCCTCCTGACCGTCTCCCTTCCCCTTCCCCTCCCGACCCTTTCCATTTAAGAAGCGCGCTCAGCAGGCCGGTTCTGAAGGAAAGAAGGAGAGTCCGCAGCGGAGCACAGAAAGCTGGTGTCCGCGCCTGTCCGCAGGCGTCCGTATGTTATCGACTCTCTGATGGGTTGCTCTCTCTAGGCGCCTCGCGGGCTGCTGCCAGGAGACGCAGGGCAGTGGCTGTGGCAGGGGCACCGTGGCCTGGCGTCCATGCCCACACTTGTCAGCTTTGAGTGAATCCCCTCCCTCCCTCTCTCCCTCCCTTCCTCTCACCTTCCCTCCCTCCCTCCCTCCTTCCTCTCACCTTCCCTCCCTCCCTCCCTCTCTCCCTCCCTCCTTCCTCTCACCTTCCCTCCCTCCCTCCCTCCCTCCCTCCCTCCCTCCCTCCCTCCCTCCCTCCTTCCTCTCACCTTCCCTCCCTCCCTCCCTCCCTCCCTCCCTCCCTCCCTCCTTCCTCTCACCTTCCCTCCCTCCCTCCCTCCCTCCCTCCCTCCCTCCTTCCTCTCACCTTCCCTCCCTCCCTCCCTCCCTCCCTCCTTCCTCTCACCTTCCCTCCCTCCCTCCCTCCCTCCCTCCCTCCCTCCCTCCTTCCTCTCACCTTCCTCCTTCCTCTCACCTTCCCTCCCTCCCTCCCTCCCTCCCTCCCTCCCTCCCTCCCTCCCTCCCTCCTTCTTCTCACCTTCCCTCCCTCCCTCCCTCCTTCTTCTCACCTTCCCTCCCTCCCTCCCTCCCTCCCTCCCTCCCTCCCTCCTTCCTCTCACCTTCCCTCCCTCCCTCCCTCCCTCCCTCCCTCCCTCCTTCCTCTCACCTTCCCTCCCTCCCTCCCTCCTTCCTCTCCCCTTCCCTCCCTCCCTCCCTCCTTCTTCTCACCTTCCCTCCCTCCCTCCCTCCCTCCCTCCTTCTTCTCACCTTCCCTCCCTCCCTCCCTCCCTCCCTCCTTCTTCTCACCTTCCCTCCCTCCCTCCCTCCCTCCTCTCACCTTCCCTCCCTCCCTCCCTCCCTCCCTCCCTCCCTCCCTCCCTCCCTCCTTCTTCTCACCTTCCCTCCCTCCCTCCCTCCCTCCTCTCACCTTCCCTCCCTTGCTCTCATGAAGGAGGAATCCTCTTACCTAGCGGGCTGACATTTAACCAGGGACTGGAGCCCCCCCTCCCGGGCCAGGACTCCCCGCCCAGCCCAGCTCTGCGGTGGGGGTGGGCCGAGGGCAGCCCAGCTCAGCTCGTGCGCGTCTCTGCTGTGCTCACTCTGCCATCAGAGGAGCAGTTACACCCCCGTTGAAATCATTAATTGAAAGGCCCTTATTATCTCGTTAACGGTGTTTGATGTGGAAGCAGACAAGCTCGGGGACACTCATCTGCTCAGTCCCCGAAGAGCAGTAATCACATCCTGGCCTCGCTCGTCGCTCGTCGGAGCCCTCTCAGCTTTCCTCTGGAGGACACATTGCACTGGGGGGGGGCTCCTCGGGAGGTGCGGCTGCTGTGATGCTGCTGGGAGACACCAATCCAGGGTGCAGGGCCGAGGCCCCTCCTCCTCCTGGGCCCCGCCCTCCTCCTCCTCCTGGGCCCCGCCCTCCTCCTCCTGGGCCCCCCCCCCTCCTCCTCCTGGGCCCCTCTTCCTCCTCCTGGGCCCCCCCTCCTCCTCCTGGCCCCCCCCCCCTCCTCCTGGGCCCCTCCTCCTCCTCCTCCTGGGCCCCTCCTCCTCCTGGGCCCCCCCTCCTCCTCCTGGGCCCCTCCTCCTCCTGGGCACCTCCTCCTCCTCCTCCTGGGCCCCTCCTCCTCCTGGGCCCCCCCTCCTCCTCCTGGGCCCCTCCTCCTCCTGGGCACCTCCTCCTCCTGGGCCCCCCCTCCTCCTCCTGGGCACCTCCTCCTCCTCCTCCTGGGCCCCTCCTCCTCCTGGGCCCCCCCTCCTCCTCCTGGGCCCCTCCTCCTCCTGGGCCCCCCCTCCTCCTCCTGGGCACCTCCTCCTCCTCCTCCTGGGCCCCTCCTCCTCCTCCTGGGCACCTCCTCCTCCTCCTCCTGGGCCCCTCCTCCTCCTGGGCCCCCCCTCCTCCTCCTGGGCCCCTCCTCCTCCTGGGCCCCCCCTCCTCCTCCTGGGCCCCTCCTCCTCCTGGGCCCCCCCTCCTCCTCCTGGGCACCTCCTCCTCCTCCTCCTCCTGGGCCCCTCCTCCTCCTGGGCCCCTCCTCCTCCTCCTCCTGGGCCCCTCCTCCTCCTGGGTACCTCCTCCTGGGGCAGGTCTAACTCGGGGTGCTGCCGGGTGGTGAGACTTGGAGGGATGGAGTCACTGGCGGCTGGGCAGGCCTGGGCCGTTGTGTGTGACCCTGGGATGAAGAGAACCCAGTGGGCCTGATGGCCAGGAGAGCCCTGTCCCAGGTCCTGTCCCCAGGCCGCACCTCCTTCCAACCAGGACTAGCTGCATGGACAGCCCAGCTCCTGGGCCTTCTTTCTGGAAGGACCCTGAGGCTCCGGGTGGTCCTGCCTGCTCTCCTGTCCTCTCTGCCCACTTAACCCTGGCCCGGGTTTCTGATGTGACCATTGTGCACCCAGGCCTGCATCCCCAGGCCCCCCCACACCCCCGGGGCCCCACCCTGCACCCCTAAAGCCCCGCTCTGCACCCCAGGGCCCCACCTTGCACCCCTAAGCCTCCCTATACCCCCAGGGCCCCACCCTGTACCCCTAAGCCCCCCTATACCCCCAGGGTCCCACTCTGTACCCCTAAGCCCTCCTATACCCCCAGGGCCCCACCCTGTACCCCTAAGGCCCCCTATACCCCCAGGGCCCCACCCTGCACCCCTAAGGCCCTGCTCTGCACCCTAGGGCCCTGTCGGGGTCCTCCCTGGGGAGACGGGTTCAGTGGCAGGAGCCACAGGCAGGAAGAGCCCGGCCCCTCGGAGTCCTGAGCTGGAACTGCATGGCCATCACTCCTGTGTGACCCTGTGGCACGCTTACCCTCTGACCCGCCCCTTCAGGCCCCGAACTCCCGAGGGGCTCAGAGCGCCGGCGAGTGGACCCTGTGGGCCCTCGGCCATGGGAGCAGCCGCTGTCCCGACGAGGGGACGCAGATGTGCCCGGGCCCTCCCGCCTGGGAGGCCACGCCGTGGGGCCTCTGCCCGAGAAGGTCTGGTGCCCAGGAAGACCCGGCCTCGGGCCTCGCCAGGGCGTCCCTCCGCGCCGGCGTGAGCGGGACAAAGTCGACAGCGCGATGAGCTGGGACGCACACGGTCCTCTGTCAACCAGAGCCCTCCGTCGCACACCCTCCTTGTCACCCTCGTTAGCTGGAGGATTTCCAGGGCAAACACGATAGGATTTCTCAGTTCGGTCTTGGGGTGTTTGTTTTCTGAGATAAAGCACACAGAAAAGGTGCATTGATCTTTTAATTCCTCATGCAAAGAAAAAACATTTGCTCTTCTCTCATTTAGTGTGTCTGCTTCTCAGCCGGGCCGGCGGGTGGCCGGGGCGCCAGGCGAACGTGAGCGCCATGGGCCTGCGGCTGGGCTGCGGCCCCTTATCAGGGAGCTGAGGACCCGCTGGCCCATCTCTCCTGCCCTGGCAGCCGTTCCCGGGGCTCCGTCCAAGTCCGGGGGAGCGGGGAGGCACTGCCCCGCCTGCCGCTCTGGGCTCATCTGGGCCTCGCACAGGGGCTCCGGGAGTGTCCAGTCAGTGTCCTTGCCACCTGACAGGGTCCCCAGTCTCCTGTCATTCACAGGTGGGAACCCCGGAACAGCGCACGTGACCCCGTTGTGGGCAGGGATTAGGAAGGCGGGGCCTCACTGAGGTGCAGCTGGTGGAGGTGGTGACGCCCTGCCCGCCCCCTCCTTGCTGTGCCCTGAGTTCCGCCTCAGCGTCAGGCGTCAGCGTCAGGGCCGTCATTCATCTGCCGCTGGCGGTCTGCGAACTGGAGCAGTCAGGTGCCGCGGGAGGAGCAGCCCCGGCCCGCCTGTCCGCCCCCTGCCCGCCGTGGGGAGACTGGTAGGCCTCTCCCCACAGGGGCCCGGGAGGGAGGCTGGGGGTGAGGGGACAGGGCAGGCGGGGCAGGCGGGGAGGCAGGATGTGAGCGTTGTTTCTCCGTCGGGCCCGCTGTTGCCGGGGCGCTGGTGTGCCCAGGGGACAGTCAGCTGCCGGTCTCTCTGAGAACCGGGCGTGGCCCAGGCGCACGCAATGCTGGGCCCCGGGGCTGTGCTGGGTCAGGGCTGGGACCCCAGGCCTCCGGGCGATCGCTGGGCCGGTTCTGTCCTTACGGCCTTCACGGACCTCGTGGGGCAGTGCGTGTCAGCGTGGAGAGTGTGTGGGCCAGGCTGACGGGAGGAGGGCAGGAGCCGGCCGCGCTGCTTGGCTGTGCTGCTGTGGCGTCTCGTGGACAAGGACGGACCCGACGCGCTGATCTCACCACGTCGTTGTGCGCAAACCTTACTGCAGTTGTCAGGTTCGCTAACATGGAAAAGTGAGGACAATACGTTGCCCTCAGCATGGCTGGGCTGACCGCTGACTCGGCCCCTCCCTCCTGCGTCGCAGCCCAGGGGCCTGTCTCCCGGAGAGCGACCGGTGTGGCCCAGCGAGGCCCCTGAGCCATGGCGCCATGCGGTGTGGACGGCGCAGGGCGGCTCATGGCTGTGAACGCGCCCGACAGGCCTTCGAGGAGAGAGCCTGTGTTTAAGGACGCGCTTGCCCGTCTCCTGCCCCCGTAAAGGTCACCGCGTGGATTTCCTCCTTCAGCCTCGCAGGCCGCCAGCGGGGCCTTTCCATTTTCCCTCCGTCCCGCGAGCCGGGGACAAATTAGATTCTGAAATTGAGTGCGCAGCCGAGTCGGCGTCCCCGTCACGGGAGGGGCCTGCGCTCACCTTGCGAGTGGCGAGGTCATGCTAATACGGAGCCAAGTGGATTAAGAAGGAAACCCCAGGCGTTTATTTACGACCTGCGCGGAATGGATTGGCACCTGTGCCGGTCCCAGCGAAGCGCGGGCGGCCGATTGATGTTGAGCCGTCCCCGGGGACACTCCGCCAGGAAGTGGCTGCGTGAGCTCAACTCGCAGGCCCAGGAAGTACCTGAATGCAAAGAGGCAGACTGAGGGGGAGGCAAGCCCCAGGGACCCAGCCCTGGATCTGAGGCCGGGGAGGGGGGCTCGGACCCAGCACAGGGCCACATGGCCGCATGCACAGCCCGGGGGGGAGGGTGGCTCGGACTGTGCCTGCCCCTGTGCGCCTGCCCCCTGTGCGCCTGCCCCTGTGCGCCTGCCCCCTGCGTGCCTCCCCCTGTGTGCCTGCCCCCTGCGCGCCTGCCCCTGTGTGCCTGCCCCTGTGTGCCTGCCCCCTGTGCGCCTGCCCCTGTGCCTGCCCCTGTGCGCCTGCCCCTGTGTGCCTGCCCCCTGTGCGCCTGCCCCTGTGTGCCTGCCCCTGTGCGCCTGCCCCTGTGTGCCTGCCCCCTGTGCGCCTGCCCCTGTGTGCCTGCCCCTGTGCCTGCCCCTGTGCCTGCCCCTGTGAGCCTGCCCCTATGCCTGCCCCTGTGCCTGCCCCTGTGCGCCTGCCCCTGTGTGCCTGCCCCTGTGCGCCTGCCCCTGTGTGCCTGCCCCTGTGTACCTGCCCCTGTGCCTGCCCCTGTGCGCCTGCCCCTGTGCGCCTGCCCCTGTGTGCCTGCCCCTGTGCCTGCCCCTGTGTGCCTGCCCCTGTGCCTGCCCCTGTGCCTGCCCCTGTGCGCCTGCCCCTGTGCCTGCCCCTGTGTGCCTGCCCCTGTGCCTGCCCCTGTGCGCCTGCCCTCTGTGCCTGCCCCTGTGCCTGCCCCTGTGCGCCTGCCCCTGTGTACCTGCCCCTGTGCCTGCCCCTGTGCGCCTGCCCCTGTGTGCCTGCCCCTGTGCCTGCCCCTGTGCGCCTGCCCCTGTGTACCTGCCCCTGTGCCTGCCCCTGTGCGCCTGCCCCTGTGTACCTGCACCTGTGCCTGCACCTGTGCCTGCCCCTGTGTGCCTGCCCCTGTGTGGAGGGAGCCCGGTTGCTTTGTGGGCTGCTTCCAACGGGGGCTGGTGCCTTGGGCTCACTGCCCCCCTCGCTGCCCAGGTGCCTTTTCCTGGGTTCCGCTGAGAGCCTGGTGTGCAGCCCCCCACACAGTCCCCCCTGACCTGCGGTGCCCTCTGACCTGCCGTCTCTCCCCAGGAGCTGCTGCTGTTCCTGCAGAACCTGCCCACGGCCCGCTGGGGCGACGAGGAGGTCAGCCTGCTGCTGGCCGAGGCCTACCGCCTGAAGTTCGCCTTCGCCGACGCCCCCAACCACTACAAGAAGTGAGCGGGCCGGCACAGGCCCCACGCGGGGACAGGCACCGCCCGCGGCGCAGGCCGTGGCCCAGGAGCAGCCGGCTGGACAGCTCGGCCCCGGGCGCCTGCCGGGAGGTGCAGGCACGGCCCAGGCCTGGCAGGGTGGCGGCCTGTTGCTGAGAAACCAAAGAGAGCAGGGGAGGGTCCCGGCCGCAGGGCCAGTGGACAGTCGGGCCCTCCCCGTCCTGGAGCGACCTTGCCAAATGACCCCTCCTGGGGACCCAGCGGCGGCCCTCGGAGAGCCTGCGTCCGCGCAGGGGCAGGGACAGGAGCCGTCGCACCGACTCTGAAATGCAAACATTCTATTCTGTCGAGTGAAAGAATAAAATGTAGACACAGTGAGGCGTGCCTGCGTCACGGGCGGGGCAGGGCCGTCTGCGGAGCTCAGCTGGAAGCACTGAGATTGGGGGGGGGCGCGGGGGCCTTGACACTGCCTGGCTCCCGCCTCCAGCCTCTGAGAGCCTGGCCCTGCTCCCAGTCAGTAGCCTGGGGCAGCCACTGTCTGTCCAGCTGGATGGGGGGGGGTCCCCTCGGGCAGACATCTTGTCCCTTCCCTCCCCATCCCCCACCACCAGTCTTGCCCTGGACCCAGGTGGTGCAGAGCAGCAGCACGGCACGTACCCCACTTTACAAAGGAGGAAACTGAGGCAGGAGAGGTCAGACAGTTCGCCAGGGTCCACGCTCATCCTCACTGTCCTCATAACACCCAGTGGGGCCTCCTTCCGTGCCCCCAGTTTAAAGGGGGAGAGGGAGGGGTTGGCAGTGACCCCTCAAGGTCACACAGCTGGTCTTGGCCTCCCTGAGAGGCCATCGGGCAGGTGGGTGGGCGTGGCTGCTGGGCGCCGTCAGTGGGCGGCTCCCGGAGTGCCTGCCCCCCACCCCGGTGCATGCGAGCGCCCTCATCCCGGGTCCGACTCTCGCCCCACTGTCCCTTGTGGCCCTGCGTGCACCGGGCTGCCAGGCAGAAACCTACTCCTGAAGGATGGCCATCGATTTGCCAAATTAATGTGTTCGTCCTCCGTGTCCCGGGAGCCCTAATGAGGTGTCAGCGGGGACGAGAGGACTACACGGATGAATAGAATGGCTTCTGCGGCGTCATTAGCCTCTTATAATAAGATTTACTTGTCGGCTGACAATGTGGTAACGTGGTCATTCGCTTGGTGCCCTAATGAAGACATGCCGCTGCGGGGACAGTCACCGGGAAGGAAGGTCAGGCCCCCTCCTGTGTGCGCCTGGGGGCGCCCGGCTCTCAGCGGAGGGGCAGCCTCTTCCCCCCTGGCCCAGGGCTCAGGGCTGGACACGGTGTCCTGGGGGCCCATCCAGCCTGGGAGGGCCAGGGACCTGGGGCAGAGAAAGGGGAACTTGGCTCAGGGTCCGAGGTCTGGCTCCGGGTGTGGTTCCCTCTTGCTCATGATCCCAGGGAGAAGGTTCTCACACGCAGGGGACAGGCCCTGGCAGAGGCGGGGGGATGCCGGTGGGGAGGCGCCAGGGCAGAGTCCACGGCTCCTCCGAGTCCCGCCCACTGCGCACGCACATGGGTGGCAGGGTGCGTGGACTGGAGGCAGGTGCTCCCTGGCAAACCCATCACACGGCCTCCACACCCGTCCTCCCCTCAGGCCCCCTATGGCCGTTGGGGCACCCGCTTCCCCTAAGGCCCCTGGAAGGGGCGTCTACACGGCTTCCTGGGAGGAGGCGCACTTCATGACCACTTCCCAAGGGGCCATCGCGTGACGGAGGAGAGGGAGGCTTAGGCAAAACCCCCAAACCCAGGGCCATGCTGGCCCCCAGGGCGGGCGCCGGGAGGGGCAAGCCAGGTGCCATGAGAAGGCCCAAGCCTCCCACATGCAAAAACCCATCGTCTGTCCATCCGTGTGCCCAGCTGAGTGGGGACGGTGGCGTGCAGACACGGCCCACACCCTGAGACGCTGATGTGCCGGTGGGCCCTGGTGGGCAGGGCTTTGCAGGCACCGCTGGGGGTGGCCACGCGGTCGTGGTCGGGGTCCTAAGGCCCAGTGTGTCCGGGGAAGGGCGCGCCCGGCTCCCGCACGCGGACAGAGCTTCGCCCGAGGATGCCGCTGTTTGCAGCCACTGGCTCTCCGGGCCTCCCTTCTGTCGCACAGCGGCTCTGTGGGGCCGGCAGCCCGCGGGCTTCCACGCCCGGCGCCACGCGGCTGCGTGCTGGCAGGACCCGGGGCCGTGCCTTGGAGAGTGGCAGAGCCTGAGCTCCTGTGACTGTCCCCCGCCGCTGCTGTGGCGGCGACGCTGACGCTTCCGTGGCCTCTCTGTTCCCGTCAGAAGCTGGAGCAAACAGCTTTGATGGAAAGCTCTCCTCCCCTGCACTCGCCAATCTTTCCTTTAAACTCTGGCCCCCAGACTGTGACCCAACCTCAGTGCCGTCACCAGAGGTTCAAGCTCTCACTGGGCACAGGCTGGGCTGCCCTGCAGGGAACTCGTCACCCAGTGGGCACTGGCCCCGGTGGCTTTGAGGCTCCTCGCCCTGCCGTCTGCCAGCCGTGCCCGGCGCCCAGCACGCCTGCGGCCCCAGCGTCCTATCTCCCAGTCCAGGGCCTTCCGTCCCTGCGGCTTTCCCACCACTCGGCTTTCTGCAGCTGCAGCCGGTGTCCGGGTGTCTCCTGGGGTCTCCCCTCTGGGAGGCCTCCATCGCCTCCACCCTCCCTCTCCCGCTCCAGGCCCCCCTGCAGCTGGACCGCCTCTTTCCCACCCTCCCGAGACGCCCCCTTCCTGGCTGGAGCCTCTGAGCGGCTGCAGAGAAGCTGGTCTCCTCTCTCCTTCCAGACTCACGTCCAGCGGAACTGAAGGCGCAGGGAGGGGGGCCTTCAGGGCACAGGCCCCCCCAGAGGGGACAGGGCTGGACGCATCCGCACTGCCCCCAGCAGGGCCTCACATGCAGTTGCTGTGATCAGCCCCGCCCCTCCTCAGCCCCTGTCGCTGCAGAGCTAGGGGTCTGGGGTCCCAGCGGCCAGGGAGCTTGCTCCGAGCCCCGCTGCAGGGGGCACCGCTGGGGAACGGGCCAGGCCAAGGAACAGCTGTGGCCGGCGGTGGAGCGTGCCTGGGGGTGGCCCGCTCAGCGCCGGGACGGGCACTGGGGCCTGTGGGTGGATCTGGACCGAGGACCGGTGACCCGGGGAGGCCTTGTGGCAGGTGGTGGACGGGATCAAGGGCACTGAAGGACGAGCCCTGGGCGTCCCAAAAGCGGGGCCTGGGATCTCCTGTGGGGTGGAACCCAATCGTGCGGATTAATTCCCCGATTTGGGTGAAACTCCTCCTGTTCCTCACCAGCACGCAGCTCAGGGCCGCCCGCTCCTGCTGGGATGTCCCCCGAGAACACGCTCTTCCCCCAGGAACGAGCCCCGGCCTGGGCACGGCACCACCCCCCCCCCCCCCCCGGCTCTGGCCAGGGCGAGGAGCAGCTGCAGAACCCCTGCTTCCTGCCCTGCTGGCCTGGGAGTGGACCCGTGGTGGCGAGTCTTCCCTGAGGCCTCACCAGCCCCGGCAGGGTCCCTGCCAAGAGGGTGCGTTAGGCGTTGCAGGTGAGGCCTCATGCTTACCTGTCACCTGCAGAGACATGGAGACTAACGAACATTCCTCACAACGGAACCAAGCTCTTCCAGAACCAAAACCAGGACTGATACTTTCACAGTCACTGGCCAGACGAAAGCTCCAATTTTCTTTAAGACGAGAGAGAACACAAGGAACAACCTAGCAAGAGAACATGGACACAGAACCTGGCTGGAGATCCTAACCAGAACTTCGCTGGAGATCCTGACCAGAACTTGGCTAGAGATCCTGGCTAGGCTGCTGATCAACTGAACGCTGTCTCCGTGTCATTCCTTCTTCGCCGACTCCGTCCACACCTTTGGGGACCCCTGGACCTGCTGGGGTTGGACCCCAGCATCTGGCAGGGTTTTTTATGCAAAACCCAAAAAGCATAAAACAGAGACAGCAGATCAAACATGCTCATTTGGGTCATATAAAAACAAGCAATGTTTTTACTAAGAAAAAACGATCAAATTGGGTTTTAAAATATAGACCTATATATCTACCAACCCACCAATCTCACCACCCATCCATCCACCTATCCATCCACCCATCCATCCATCATCCATCCATCCATCATCCATCCATCCACCCATCCATCCACCCGTCATCCATCCATCCATCATCCATCCACTCATCCATCCACCCAACCATCCATCCATCCACCCATCCATGCTGGGGTCCAACCCCAGCAGGTCCAGGGGTCCCCAAAGGTGTGGACGGAGTCGGCGAAGAAAGAATGACACGGAGACAGCGTTCAGTTGATCAGCAGCCTAGCCAGGATCTCTAGCCAAGTTCTGGTTAGGATCTCCAGCCAGGTTGTGTCCATATTCTCTTGCTAGGTTCTCTAGCCAGGTTCTCCAGGTTCTCCAGCCAGGTTCAGTCACCAGGTTCTAGTCAGGTTCTTTTGCCATGTTCTATCCAGGCTCTGTAGCCAGGTTCTGTCTCTAGGTTCTTCAGCCAGGTTCTCTCGCTAGGTTCTGTGGCCAGTTTCTGTCCAGGATCTTTTGCCATGTTCTCTCCAGTGAAGTTCTTCTGTCTCTAGGTTCTGTGTAGGTTCTATGTCTAGGTTCTGTGCCTGTTGTCTTGTTACATCTGTATTTATACCAGTTGATTCCAATCCTATCAATCTCTATTCCAAAGGTTAGGGCGTTTCTTATCTCCATTCCAGGGAGTAAAGATTATGTAGCTTAAGCATGATTGTTCGTAGTTAAAGTGATTAATTACCTGCCTGGCACTTAGTTAAGGGGTTTTATTCCCTCCCTAACTTCAGGGGAAAATCCCTACCTGGGGAAACAACCTTTCTCAGAGAGGTGACCTTGGTTAAAACACATAGTGCCAAGAAGGTGAGCAAACATATTAAGAACAGTATGCCATATATGCCAGGTCCCTTGAAACAGCAAGGATGGACCCGCTCCCGGCACATCCACCCACCCAACCATCCATCCATCATCCATCCACCTAACTATCCATCCATCTACCCAACCACCCATCCACCACCCATCCATCCATCCATCCATCCATCCATCCATCCATCCACTCATCCATCCATCCATCATCCATCCACTCATCCATCCATCATCCATCCACTCATCCATCCATCTATCCACCCATCCACCCACCCATCCACCCATTCATCCATCCAACCACCCATCCATCCACCCCTCCATCCACCCACCCAATTATCCAATCATTAAACACTTCCCCAGCATCCTCTGTACTAGGCCCCGGACTCAGAGGTGGTTCTGCTCTGGTTCTTACCCGTGAGCTTTCAGAGTGAACCC